ACATGGATTGTGATAGAACAGCGGTGATCAAACATCTCCTCATTACACTCTGGTATTGTTGCTTCTAAAGGTCACCATTGCTGTACATAATCACACAAAATCAAAACGGCAAACTTTATATATCATAGATGGAGTAAATAGCTTGAAGGTTTATTTTCCACTGCCTGAACAATACTCTGAACCCATTTATTAATTCCTGGCTAGAGTGTGGAATAAACTGGGGAACATTTACTGCCACTAACAAAAGAGTCAACAAAATCAATTCCCTGCGTTAAAAAAAAAAAGAAATTATATATTCCGTGTTGTTTATTTGGTTGGCACCAACAATTGCAGCCGTTTGCTTCTCAGCATGTGCTTCTCACTCATCCTGTGACTGTATTGTTGTTCTTATACATTTCTTAGATGTCTTGATGGCTCAGTCACTTATCTTAATAAAAACAAACTGAACATTTCATGAAAAATAATTGTATCTGAGGAAATTCTTTCACATAATGTAATGTGCTCTATTGAAGGTAATTTATAGATCAAATGGCTCAATTATGAGGAAAATGCCTCTGTTGATGTTGTTTGTCGAATTCTGAAGTCTGTTTGTATTCTTGCTTGTTAGCCAAAGAACCTTTTACAGTCCTTTTTTTTTACAGAATTTATAATGGTTGAAAATGGCCCTATACCAATAAGATTTGATGCTGATACTGACAACCCACAAATTACTCATTCTTCAAACAACAATTAAAGTGCTATTAAACCCATTTATTATATTGCAGCTTACCGATTCTTATGTGATGGCTGCATTCGTTTTCATGTTATCGGCTTTCTATCCTCTATTTTCATAGGGAGATCCAGCCAAAATGTCTGTTGCTTTTTTCAATCGAATAAACTGTATGATGAGGAAAACCTTATAACATAGGTCAGTGGCGCTTACAATGATCAGTGTTTATTGATTTATGTAAAACCTTTATCTCTAAAGGAAACAAAACAGCTGTAACTGCTTATAAAGTATTAGCTTGGCTTCAATCTTAGTTTATTTAAATCTGCTAGTACATCTAACACTCCCTTCTCACCTAAGGAGGGGGGGGCAATATTGCTGTCCATAGGTGCTCTCTGTGATAATTCATCCAGAGTGGAGGCACTCTAATACTCTAATACAGGTGTTACTGGCCAGATTACCAGGTGAAAACGGAGGTAGAAAGGCCTAAAACATGAATGCAGCCACCACATCTAATGATTGGTAAGCAGCAATGATTTTTAAAATTTTGGTTTAATACCACTTTAGGCACAGCAGCCTTTACTGATCATTAAAAGTGTTTCATATGACAAATTCTGGGCTCACATTAATAGGCTTTCTTTTTAAACACACACAGTCATCTAGGGGGAGTTAGATCTCAATTGTTAGCTAGTAGCCTGGATGTGATAGCTAGCAGGGGTCAAATTGTGGTCAGAGCTGAGATGCTCTGTAGACCAGCCCTCTGGAATTTCCCCCACTCTAAAACTTTGGAGAAAGGTCTAGAAGCAGTGGGTGGATCTGAGGAGTGGCTGATCTGCACTTTTGAGGGAGCCTGGTCAATCCCAAACAGGAGGCTTGGCATGGGTGCTTAGCTGCAGGAAAGTTCGGGTGGAAGACAGAGAGAGAATGTGAGGCTGAAGGCAGAAGCCTGGGAGGGGGCCCAGATGGAGAGAGGGGCTCACCTACAGGCAGTGGAACTGGAAAAGGCAAAAGCTCAGACCCTCACCAGCCAACCAGAGCGAGGACCCCACCTGTGCATCACGGAAGGAGTAGCCCAGCTAGAAGGTCTGGTAGCAGCTACCGACCCAGCAGCAGCACAGGAGAAGGACTTAGTGAGTAAACCTATACCCCCTAGGCCAGATTAAAGAAGCAGGATTCTGGTGGGAAACCAGATTCGTAACAAACTGGGGCTGTATAATTTTTTTAAAGCGACAGGCACTGGATCCCCTGTTCAGAGATACCTCCAGACAGCTGAGTAAAGAAGAGGAGTTTTTCTGGGGTGAGGGTGGTACTACAGGAGACACTGGTTAGCTCTCCAAAAAAGAGTGTGTTGCAGTAGAAACTTGTAAATAGTTCCAGGAAGTTGTCCTCAGTTCATTGGTTTCATTCGGTATCCCATATACCCCTACACCCACCCAAATTGAAATCCCCATAATAAAACATAAAAAAACAAGCTCAAGGACTGATTAATGACTCCTGAATGCAAGCCTGAGGAAAATGCATGTTGTCTGGCCATGCAAGACTATAGGGGGACCCAAATACTCAACAATTCCGAAGGGGGTAGTGCCACACACATCAAAGAGAATTTACTAAGACTGGAGGAAATGGAATCTGGAGCAGTTGTGCAAAACCTTTTATACCATCTTAAACCACCAAGTACCAAAGTTTTCTTTTACACTTGAGGTAGTTAAAAATAAATCTTTTTTAAATGTGTCTTGTTTGTGGATGACATCCTTTTGTATGTTTTGGCCCTGCAAACTATGGTGCCAGCCTTGATATCACTTTTGCAGGAATTTTATACTTTTTCAGGACTCAATCCCACCATGACTATGGCCATGAATATTACCTTACCACAAACAGAGGTAGACTGGGTTAAGTGCACCTTTGATTTTCAGTGAGCCCATTGTTCCATCCCTTATTTAGGCATTTATTTAACCCCCTCTCTTGACACTATTTATAAGGCCAACTACCCACCACTTTTTCAAAGGGTACGTTCGGACCGGGATAGGTGGGCCACACACCCTCTCTCCTTGTTCGAATGAATCAATACAGTGAAGATGAACGTATTGCCTCAGTTACTCTATTACTTTAGGATTTTACCTATAGCAATTCCCAGACAGGATTTATTGAGACTCCCAAACAAGATTTCCCAATTTATTTGGGGTGGTAAATGTCGTAGGATGAATTGCCTAACACTGTATATTCTTAAATTATGTGGTGGGGTCGGTTGGGCCTTCCAAATCTCCTAACTTATGATCATGCTGCACCAATTGCTCAGTTGGCTTACATCACAGCTGCGGGACCTATACCTCAATTGGCCTTGATTGAAGCATTGGCATGTCCCTGTTGCCCAATTAAGGTCCTTATGTGGAGGGTCCTTATCTGGCAAGTTGAGATCTCCTGTCTTGTGCCCTACCTTGTCATGCTTGCTGGCTATCTGGGATAGGTTGAGCTCTAGGAGGCTACTTTCTTTTCCTCACACCTCCTTGGCCCCAATATTTGATAATCTGGACTTTGAATCGGGGATGTGTGAGATGGGGAAACAGCTTTCATTGTTTGAATACTGCTTGTGTGGAGTAAATTAAATGTTTTGACTGACATTCTGCAGTTTAGCCACAAGATGTTACTGTTTTTCTAACACAGCTTCAGACTGCATAGAGATGTCTATATTCATGAAGAGGTGGAGTTTTCACACTGAGGAGAGAGAGCAGCCATGTTCTGGAGAATGGTGAATGAGGGTGGCCGTGTGAGCTGAGAATCTGATGACATCCAGGTGTGAGTGCACCCCTCAGTAACCAGAGATTGCTGCCAGGAATGCTGATGAGATTACTGTCAGGAAGGCTGATGAGAGCAGAGGAACTAAGCAACATATACGGCAAGACCGCATGCTTGTTGGAGAGACATTTGCTCTGATCAGAGTCACCAGCGGATGCAAAGCAGACCCAGGTCGGGAAGATCGTGCACGCACCTCATTTCAGTGTTGGCGCCTTGAAACTGAGTCCAGGCCTATAGTTAGTTAGTTAGGGTCTCTGTTTGTGTCAGGCCACAAGTGTTGTTACTGATTATTGGAAGGACTCCACAACTTAAGTGACATTTCACATTGGAGAGCTGATAAAATCCTACAAACTCAAGCCAGTCTGGCGTTTTGCTCAGAAGGAATACTCAGGCAGGTGCTACAGGACCAGTTATGGGAGGGGGAATACTGTAGATTTGTGTAAGATTGTAAGCTGTTGTGCTGCACCGCAGGCTAGCCCATACCATACACCCATACACTGATTCCTGCTCTTTTAGGGTAATAACAGGTAAGGTGTGGCAGCTTAGTTGTGCCCGCCAGTAGGTAAATTACTTCAAATTCTACCTTCATCCATCAGAAGGCGCCATGCTGTGCAGCACAAGGGTCTCAGCCTTTGGGCTGAGTGTATGTAAATTTATTGTATGTTTCCAGCATTTGTGGTTGTGTTTATTTGCCACATCTAAGTAAAATTCTGTTGTGGCAAAAGCTGGTGTTGGGGTTGCTTTCCTCGTTCGTGACTTCACTGTATCCTGGGGAGCCCACCCCGGTACACGGCGTACAGATGCATTCCGTGCAGTTTTCTTTGTGGAAGAATAAAGGTTTCCTACAGATTGGCAATCTTTTAAATAGTGGTACACCTTATACTCTAGCCCACTTTCAGGACACTCTCCCCCCTTTTTTTCCATCGGATTTGAGCTGATTATATCCTGAAGGTCATTGAGTCGTAGTGGTGCCTTTACCCCTTTTCCTTTTCTTCTTTTCTTTCCCTCTTTTAAGGATAGGAGCACAATACTTTTATTGTTATATGCATAGCCCTGCTAGGTCTCGATAGATTCTATTGTAGTCTTGGCATGTGCTATATGATGGGTGCTCCTGCTAATGTGATGTATGACTTGTTCACAGGGTGCGCTCTCTAGGGACAAAATTGTTATCAACATTTATATAATGCACCCTTCTCCCTATACATGGGAGATGCTTTTTTGTGTTCATTTATACACTATATTGCCAAAAGACGCCTACCTTTAAAAGCACCTGAACTTTAATAGCATCCCAGTCTTAGTCTGTAGGATTCAATACTGAGTTGGCCCACCCTTTGCAGCTAAAACAGCTTCATCCCTTCTGGGAAGGCTGTCCACAAGGTTTAGGAGTGTGTCTATGGGAATGTTTGACCATTCTTCCAGAAGCCCATTTGTGAGGTCAGGCACTGATGTTGGATGAGAAGGAAGGCTTGCATTTGGTGAAGTAAGGCTTGAATGCAGCTGTTTGGCCATGGAAACCCATTCCATAAAGCTCTCTACGCACTGTTGTGCTAATCTGAAGGCCACATGAAGTTTGGAGGTCTTTAGCTATTGACTCTGCAGACAGTTGGTGACTTCTGCTCACTGTGCCCTTCAGCATGCACTGACTCCTCTCTGTTATTTTACATGGCCTACCACTTGTGGCTGAGTTTCTGTTCCAAGTTGTTTCCATTTTGTTATAATACCAATAAGAGTTGACCGTGGAATATTTAGTAGCAAGGAAATTTTACGGATGGACTTATTGCACAGGTGGCAACCTATCACAGTACAAGGCTTGATTTCACTGAGCTCCTGAGAGCGACCCATTATTTTACATATGTTTGTAGAAGCAGTCTGCATGCCTAGGTGCTTGATTTTATACACCTGTGGCTATGTAGGTGATTGGAACACCTGAATACAATGATTTCGAGGGTGGACCCAATACTTTTGGCAATATTATTTTAATAAATGTTGTGGTGCCACGAGTATACCTTTTTAGGATAAAGACACCTTTATTGTAAAACCAGTAACATATATAAATAACTGGTGCAATGAAGATCAAACATAACTGTTAAGTGATTAAAACATGCCACTCAGTGATTCCCTGTAAAGGGATATACAATCCTATTAAGGTGATGTCTATGTACAATAGTCCACAGCACTCAGTGTTTATAACCATAAAACTGCAGTGATATTAGTGTCCACATAATTTAGTGTTTTGCACACAATTAAAAACGCATATGTTCCTCTTGCCAGTGCGGGTGACAGGTGAGAATCCTATGTGGCTAGCATGCCTGCTCACCTTCCCCATGCGACCCACAGGGGCCAAAATGCCTTTCGGATCACCTCTGGATCCTACACGCTCTCTCTTGGCTAGAAGTTACTCCACAGACTCCAGTCCTCACTCCTCCACCTTCCTCTTATCCTCCCTGTACAGGTACCAATATTATGTACTCATGAGGTCATAAAGGTCATGGAATAGAACACACAAGAGATCCTCCATAGTGTGAAAACTGTATGACACATTTAATGTGAGAAAACGCCAAATAAACACTCACATTTGCAGTGGAAGATAACAAGCTGTCAGGAATGAACTAGCCAGCAATGGTGGGACTCACCTGCCTTTTTGATCTGTAGTACCAGGGCTGGCCAGCGGATGCTCCCAGCAATCAGAGACTCAACTTTGCAGCCAGCTAACACCTGGAACTGATTATGCTGGGGTATTTAAGGGATGGCCAGACTTGCAGACTCTGCCTTGGTGTTGTGTTTCTCTTGGGCCCTGTATCCTGTTCCTGCTCTCTGTTCCTGTCTGATTCTCTGCTACCTGTTCTGATCCCTGGCTTGTCTGACCATCCCTCTGCCTGACCCTCTGTACTACGCTGCCTGCTACCTGTTCTGATCCCTGGCTTGTGACCCTGACCATCCCTCTGCCTGACCCTCTGTACTACGCTGCTAACTACCTGCTGAACCTGGCCTGTGACCCCGACCAATCTCCGCTTGCTCCCCCTGTACCTACCTACAGTATTGATATTGACCCGGCCTGCCTGACGACGCTTGCTTGTATGTACTGTTATCTGTGGGTGGTTGGTTTGTTTGCACTGTATTATGTTTAGTATTGCACTGCGTTTATGTTTGTATTGTTAGTGTTAATAAATTATATTGTTTATCACATATCTGAAGTCTGTGTTTCCCTGCGTCAGTCACACACCTCTGGTCACACCTGGGAGCCCTGACACAAGCCGTTTAGTGTCACCTCACATGGGTTGTACTATAGGTCCTCTGGTGTACCAAGATGGCGCCGGACCGGAAGTGCGTCACCACACTGCTATAGCTCATCTACGCGTTACGCCATGCCTCTCGTAGCTTCGTCAGGATCAGGACTTTTGGCAATATAGTTGTGTTGGGCTATATGTTCAAGTCAAACGTTCGTTCGACTCGAACATCGGCCATTCATGTGTTCACCTGCCGTGCCCTGCAATGCTTTGGCCAATCACAGTCATGAAGATGTCACAAGGGGGCAATGGTGACCCTGCCCCTTGTGACGTAATCACAGTATATAAGAACTGTCATCACGGCTCAGCTGTGAGGCAGCGGGAGCCAGCGTCGAGAGTGGAGCGTTTCATTTTTTGGGTCAGCGATGGCAGTGGGCATCATGATTGATGTTGGATCTACTTCTGGGGGACAATTTTTCTTATTTTTGTTTTTAATAAAGGATTTGTCAAAGACTGTCTACTGTCATTTTTTCCACTACACTTTTTTTTTGTGAATGAGTAGCAGTACCTTGTACCCCATACTCATTCACATGGGGTGGCTGGGATCTGGGGATCCCCTTGTTAGAGGGCGCTTCCAGATTTCAATAAGCTCCCCACCCGCATACCCCCACAACCACCAGCCAAAGTTGTGGGGAAGAGGCCCTTGTCCCCATCAACAAGGGGACAAGGTGCTTTGGGGGGGAGCCCCCCTGCTCCAAAGTACCCCCCCTTGTTGAGCGCATGTGGCCTGCTTTGGTTTTGGAGGGGGGCACTCACTCATTCCCCCCCCTTTCCTGACCTGACAGGCTACATGCTCAGATAAGGGTCTGGATTTTGGGGGGGAGGCCCCCACGCCATTTTTTTAAAAAATTTGTCATGGGGGTTCCCCTCAAAATCCATACCAGACCCAAAGGGCTTGGTATTGATGGGGGAGGGGGGGCCACATGTTTTTTAAAAAAATGTTTTTAATTTCTGGGCAATGTCAGCAATTCTTATAACATTCAGCTGTCAGTGGGTAACCCCCCTGACAGCTGAAACATTAAAGAATGTTTTTAGTAGCTGTGCTGTATCTTACCGCATACTCAGTTACGGTAAGGTTCCGCTTAGTGAATTGTCACCTCTGTTCGAAGTTCACAGTCAAACTTGTGTTACGTTCAAATGTTTGACCGTGAACCAAACAGGGGTGTTCGGCCCATCACTACAATATAGTATATGTTCTTAGTTCTATTTGCAACCACAACATATATGGAACAAATGATGTATACTGTTAAAAAAACATTATTAAACACATTGAAGTATAAAAATAAATTTGTCTGGAGGTGGGCTTTAAATCTAATTAAAGCAAAAATACACTGCATCTGAGCACCACAAACCAAAAATGCTATTTACTTCATTTTAAGTCACATGTACACTGGACATTTTTACAGCTGCTGTTTTTGGCTTTTGGCATTTTTTTCTAGAGTCCCCAGCATGTTATCCTATGTGTCCACGCACGCATAGGCTTTAATCAGTGTTTTTGGCAAGGGCGTTTTTTTGGCTGGAAAAAGTTCTAGAACTAGTGGGTTTCTAGAGGGGGTTTTTAGCTGTAAAAACGCTCTAACTCTTGTAAACGTGGTAATATGAGGCAAACTGGCATTTTGGGGCATTTTTTAGCAAAAATTGTAATTTTTTTTGTGTAAAAAATGCTAAAAAACACAAATGTGGAAAAATGCGGCTAAATGCTATTGTAAAAACACTAAAACATGTGGAAAATTTGTGTTTTTAACGTGACTTTATACAGCTGACGGTACCGGCGTTTTTAAAGTGCCCAGTGTGCATGAGGACTTAATATTCAAACCAAACTCACCCGTCCATCCATGTCTCCAAGCTTTATTTTGCTGAGAAAGCACTTTGAAGAACACCACCCCCCTAGCATTTCTGGTCATGACCTTTTTGAGTTAAGGGCAGATGATTTGTGTAGCATTTACTTTGGATCCATCTGCCCTAAGCTCAGGGGCTGAGAAAACACCTCCTCCCCTCCTGAAGACCCCTATGATGTATCATTTGCCTAAGCCTGGGAACCAGTAAGTATATGAAAAATGCTAAAGTTTAAAACAAGTAAATATGGTATACCTTCCTATCTATTTATTAATGCTAGTAGCAATGGCGTTAAAATTGTCAGCATTGATTAAGAGAGTAAGGTTCTGCTTTAATTGTGATGTTTATTTAATTGCTATTACATTTTGTTTGCTGCTCAGTTTTCACTGTCAGTTAAGTTATACATTTCGGGGAGTTATCTAGCTTGCTACTTTTGCAGACATGAAGAGCTAAACATAGTTCTGTGTATAACACGTCTAAGCTCTTAATGGTTATGTTCTGAAATCTCTTTTGTAGTCTGCCTTGTAGCTTCATCTGGCAGCTCGGAACAGGTCCCTCTAGGCGCCTCACTTGACCTTCACAAGTTTCTTCCTATGCTCCAGTCTTAAGTTAGTTGCTGCTTTAGCTTTTCCCATGCTAGTTTCAGCAATTACACACTTCGAATGATATTTTGACAAAGATGTCCACATGCTTACGTACATTGGAATGTAAGAGTGGCTTTCTGTGCCAAAATATAGAAGATAACTCTAGGACTGGATGTAAAGGTTCTTACTCAGAGGAGAAAGAGAAATTAAAAAGATCCTGTTACTTTGCTGTTTAGGTTCAAATGAGTGTGTTGGTGTAAGGATTTCCTCGACCACTTTATACTCACCTCTGCTGTCTTCCTTTGCTGCTCCTTCTCCTTGCAGCCACCACCAAGATAATTGGGGTTGGCTGGCAAAGGGGATTAGGGGTAACGGTGACATCATTCCCTTCTGTCCAATGTAAGCATTGAATCATTTGAGAAGGTCACACGCTCACCTGTACCTGGAAGCACTGGGTATTCTGCAGTGTTGGCCATGGAGGAAGAAGTGGCGGAAGAACCCTAGAGAGGTGTGAACAAAGAGGTCAGGTGGAGGGTTTAAACATATACTGGAAATTTGCACTGAACTGACAACATTACAGTGTCCCTTTATTGAATTTATTTGGAAGATTAATGCCTTCAGAGGTAGATACAAACAATATTTTAGAAGTGATCATGTTATCTTTATTTCTCAGTTGTGGTTGTTTATTACCTCTGGCAGTGGGTGGCCTTCAGTGATACAGGGAATGACACTGCTCTGACGACATCAATGCCATTTTTTGCGATATTATACTATGAATAGAGGGTGCCATGATCATGACCTCTCATGGGGTGGGTTCATGATGTTCTGTACTAAACAGTATAAATACTATTGAGATGCTATAGCAGGAAAACACTGAACAGTACTTCTATATTTCTAAAAAATGTACGAGGGCTGTACTCTTCTTTTTCATTGCAACATGTCCTCATTGAGTTCCACTCACTTACTGTTTGGTTCAGTGGTCATGGCTGATGGTCTCAAACTGCATGGTTTGTCTTCAGTGCTGGATTCTGCTTCTTTAAACATCCATCTGTGCACTTTGCTTTTGTCCAATGGTGTCAAGTATGTAAACATTCTCAAGCCTATTGTGATGTCAGGCAGCCTGAACTCTAACTTCATCAAGAACTCAATGGCTACACATTGCTTTTGC